GTAACCAGGCTAATTTCATTTTTTTCTGGCTGACTGGATCAAAAAGACTTGCATTCACTGTTTTCCTTCTGTTTGCATTCCCCCCCTTTCAAGCAGTAATCGGCACAAAAGGCAGAATTAAAGCAGCACACCCCTGAAGGAAGCCTTCTTTTCAAAGATAAAACAGGAAGTACAAAATGAGAAATCTGCAAGAAAGGGCTTATTTTTCTGCAGAAGGGGTTGGAGGACACACTCACAGGTGAATGTTCTGGATTAAGGCGTCGTGTTTTTGAAAGACTCTGGAGCGCGTTGCAAGGAAAGTCACATTTGATTACACTGTGGTGGATTGTAAAAAATAAAACTTGTTTTAAATACATTAATTTACCATATTTTTCAGACTATACGGCACACTTAAAATCTTGTAATTTTCTCAAAAATCACCAGTGAGCCTTATGTATTGATTCTGTTTGTGCTTGCTGACCTCGAACTGATTGTATGTGGTTATTGTGAATGAGTTGAATGCAGTTTGACTTATCTGACTGTTTTGTTTCACTTAATGCGACTTATAGTCCAAAAAATACAATATCAGCCACAACATTATAAACACTAATTTTCCATGTAAACCACATCAAGCATCAGTTTACAGTTTAACTTTATAACAAGTTTTAGGCTCTGATATTGTCATTTTCTTGCAAACACACCTTCGTATGACAAAACCACAAAGTTTCACTTTGCCACGTGAGAAAAAAACATCTTAGAAAATGTGTGTTTATATTCCAAATATTCAAAATTACAGATTTGTTTTAGAAACCAGAAGATGAGCACAGAAGTCCCCACAAGTGATAAAGTGATTTTCTATCTGCATCTCGGTGCCAAACACCAGGACGTCCCAATACTCGCAGATACTCTTACATCCAAGGAGTATATAGAACATGAAGTGGTGGTTTTAATATTTTGGTTCCTCAGATAAGAGTGTTGCAATGTTTTGGATGGATTTATGTTTTCTTTTGTTTATTTGTTGGACGTTAAAAAGCCTTTCAGCTGCTCCTCTTACCTCAGGAGGTTTGTATAAATCACAGTTTCTCACTAGAAATATTTCATTTCTTTTGTATCATTCTACAGCTTCTCTGTGTTTTTAAAGACTGGACTTAGTTTGAAGTCATCCTCTGGTGGATTTCCTCTCATGTGACTCGCCCTCAACCTGCTGCATTGTCCAACTTCCACAAGCTGGGAAAACAAATATCCTGTTTAAACTTTAGGATTTATTCCTGCCTTGTCGATAACACGCTGCTCAGGCCCACAGGCAGCAAAGCAGCTATAAATTAGAATGAATCCTCCACCTATGTTCATCAGTGAGACGTTTATGACCAATCAGTCACTGCAAAAATTAATGGTTTACTAAAATGGATTTCCAGTGAAAATTTGAGCAGTTTTTAGAAAACACTGATGCCTTCATAGAAAACTTGGTAAAAGTTGGTGTTTTGATGAAGATAGGGTAATGAATATACAACAACAATGGCGTCTCTCAGTTTGGTGTTCTTTAAGTTTTTCCAAAATTGCTGAAAATGCTGAAACTAAACTGCTGACAGAGTGTTCAGTGTCTGTTGGTGAGGCAGGTTTTTACATTTCTGGAAATGGACATAGACATTTTTCTTTTTAGTCATTTTTACAAGTAATGTGTATTTAAAGCTGTTAAAAATGCACAAAGATGGTAATTTATTGAGCTTACAATCTTTTTTCTGAACCATTTTGGCCTTGGTGTCCTCAGGTTGTTTCTGTGTGTCGCAAGTCGGCCATCTGGCCTAAAACATTTGATTGTTATACATGATGACTGATTGTTTGGGGTGGATGTTTTTTTTATTTGCATGTGTTAAAAGTCTACTTCTGAGATTCCAACAGGAGGTTGGCTTGAAACACAGCAGTGAAAGCTACTTATGGGACAGATCTGGTTGGCAGGCCACAGACTGAAGAAGTCTTCTGGATGGAAGACGAAACGTTTCTCCCTCAAAGAAACTGGTCCAGATGAAATTATTTAATCTTTTTTTTGTTGGTAATTTATACAGTTTTATGATTTTTATTCAACTTTAAATTTAGATTGAATCATGTTAGGACAAAATTTAGAAACAAATGCACGATTCAGCGGCACGGTGGCTCAGTTGGTAAATCTGTTGCCTCTCAACGAGCGACCTGCAGGTCGCCAGTTCAAATCCCGTTCGGGGACCTTTCTGGGTGGAGTTTGCACGTTCTCTCCGTGAATGCATGGGTTTTCTCCAGGTACTCCAGTTTCCTCCTACAGACCAAAAACATGCATGTTAGACTGATTGGTAACTCTAAATTGTCTCTAGGTGAGAGAGAGAATGGTTCTTTGTCTCGTTTGTCTCTATGTGTCCCTGTGATGGACTGGAAACCTGTCCTCTCGCACAGTTGGACATGAGCACCAGTGACCCCCATGACCCAAAAAGGAAGAAGCGGGTAAAGATGATGGATGGATGGATGGATGGATGGATGGATGGATGGATGGATGGATGGATGGATGGATGGATGGATGGATGGATGGATGGATGGATGGATGGATGGATGGATGGATGGATGGATGGATGGATGTGATTCATATTTTAGGTGACTTCAATCATTTTTTATAAGATGTCAATATCATTAAAGGAACGCTCAAGTTCACAATCTGAGCTGCTCTCAACTCGTGACGTGCACGGCCTGACCCTAAAACAACCTTACCACCTAATAAGCAGGAAGAGTGTGTTCAGCTGTTTGTTAGCAAAATATCTTGTGAACCACAGGACAAATGTACTTTCAGAACGTAATAATGGACTGTAACTACAGAGCTGCTCTAATTCAAGATGACAAAACTGATCAACATTAATAATCACATACTGAGCTAAATGTGTTCTAGTTGAGTCACCCCTAACAGACAAGCAGCTCACACAAGATCTCCGTTTAAATCTTCAGCATGCACGGTGATGGTTTATGTGCATTCCTTCAAGAAACTCTGTCACAACATTAATTTGATGAAACAAGGTTTTTTAATCTTCCAGAAAGCAACAACACTTCTCTGTTGAGAGCTGCAGTATTTGTGTGTTTTAGCTGCACTTTTAATAAGTCTGGACTCTGATGGGCACTTCATGAACCAAGATGATGTTTCTTCTTCCCTAAATCCTCTTTTGTATCCAGCATTGTTAGACTTTTTACCAACTTTCATTAAATTAAGGCATATTAAGCTTCTACAGCATCATTTAGGATTAAATTTACGCTACCAAATAAAAATACTAATCACTGCAGTACTGTTTTAGTGAGAAGTTTTTATTTAAATACTTATAAATGAAATGCAGATTTAATCAGGTTTTCCTGCAGCTCAGCTCTCTGGCAGGTCTTCTCCAGTGTCAGAAAAAGCAGCTAAATTTGCTGCTTCAGCTCTTTTAATCAGCTGATATTATTCAGTCTCGCTCCTCTGAGCTTCTGAAGAATTCAAGTGTTGTTTTTACATTTTTAAATCATTTTTGAGCAACTTTAGGATCATTTAGAAGCAAGTGCAATATAAAAAAAACAGTCTTTTAACAATCTGTTTTAGCTCTGAACTCTTTTTAAATATACACCTACAATAAAATCATGGTTATTTGATAGATTGTTTGATATGCACAGTGTCTGTAAAGCAATTTTAATGCATTATTAAAAAAACAGAATATTTAATTGTATTACAATTGCTATTAAATTCTGAAACTCATTAATTATAATATGTGTACTTTCATCAAATTTATCCCAAGTTAAATGTTGCCAATGCTTTAATCTGAAACAGCTGTTTTTAAATAGGTTGTTCATCATTTTTTACATTTTCATAGAAGATGCTATTTTACAAACTTGATAAACTCAACAAAACACAGCATGCACTTAATGAGTAACAGACCACTTAAAATGGAAAAGAAGTGTGCGCTACAAACAGCTGTTCTTTCTTTTGCTTTGTTTCTCTCCTTTTTCCTGTTTCAAGCTCACAACTAAACGTGAGGTCTCTGCTGAGTTGGAGATGGATGTGCAGGTACTGCTCTTTGATTTCTGCCTCTCTTTGCAGAGTCATCCTTGCAGGGGACTCATGAAGAGCCCGTCCCTCCCCACAAAACCTTCAATGCTCGCGTCAGGTTTTTAATTTATCCTCTGTAGGTTTTCTGTTCTTTCTCGGCCTCCGTTGCAGGAATGTAATTGTTTCTTTTTTAATTATATGCATCTTTTGTTTTCACTCTGACCTTCACATTGAGCACAAAGCTCTCCTCTCGGTTCAGGCTGCTCCCATTATTTTAATTACAGAATAAAAGATGAGCAGAACTCTATAGAGGTGGAGCTCCTTCTGTGTTTTAAATCAGCTTTTTCTCTCTCCTGCAGAGCAAACATACATGCATGTCCAGCTCCAGGTTTAGGTCTGATGTGATGCATTCCTTAAAGACTAAACGTTCCCTCAGAGCACTTTATTATGAAGCATATTGATGTGCCTGCAGAGAGGTGAGATTTCTGCACAAGGTGTGTCCTGCAGTGGTGGGTGTGGCTAACATCTCTCACTGCAGCAGTGTGAAGCTTCCACTGGATCTCTGTGTGATGAAGGGAGCCACAGGAGAGCACACAAAGTACCGCATCGCACACGTTTCTGGTGTACATGAATCCCACTTTTATTTTCCACAGGAAAAACAAAAAAGAAAAGATGTTTGTTTTCTTTTTTCTGGTCTCTTGGGGTTACACTTAAAACCATTCTATGAAAAACTGTAGCACCAGAGCAGATTTTATTTGCCCATTCTTTGATGAAAAATGTCAATTCTTGCTTTTTCCCCTCCAGTTTTGATCACCGTTGATTGGGGAGACTTTATATGATATTTATATATATTTATATATATATATAAATCTAGCACTTCATTTCTTTTCCCAGTCATTTGCAAAATAAAACTCCTTCATTTTCTCAATTAAATAACAGCAAATACATTTAGAGCAAATAAAAATTGCCAGTAGTAAGCATAATTCAAGCAGGGAATCAGCTTCCATGATTAATACTATTATATATTTATATAGTATACATATATTTATATTTTATATTTGTTTATATACAAGTATGGCACTTGATTACACAAAGAAAGCAAGAAAACACTCACAAATAAAAGCAGTGGGCGCTTTGGTGTGTCATAAATTAAGGAAGTCACAGACGTTCAGCGTTTTGCAGCAAAATTCACCAGATACTGTTTTGCTAAGTTTTCTATTGAAGCGGTGGAATGGTTACATTAAGGTCAGTGGTGCAACACAGGCAACAAAAACAAACAAGAAAGTATTGAGCTGATGTGTTTTATGCTGAACAGTGGCATGGGTTTGTAGTTTTATATCAATCTGGATGGGTTTTATCTTGTTCAGTGAGTTATTTTTCTCCCTTATTAAACTTGGCTCCAGAAAAATGGGTGGAAAGTGAAACTAAAGTCAGGTCAGTAGCACATTTGGATAAAATCAGGCTCTCAAGTGTTCACCTCTTAGTGCAATATTCTTTTCTCCTTTTTTGCATTTGCTCTCTTCAAGTTTAGCAGAACAGCCCACAAAGAGTAATCAGTGAACACATCCTACAGAGTACAAACATTAAGAAAAAAGTTGCATCAGTGCAATCATAAAGAAGTCAACAAACGTGGAGCGCACGCTTGCCATGAAGTCCTTGAACCAAACCAGAATAGAAAATAAATCAAATATAAATAAAATTATTAGAATCTGCCCACTTTTTTAAAAAGTCATGACATAAATCAGGCGTCTCGTCCCATCTTATTTGTTTGTTTGTTTGTTTGTTTGTTTACACATACGCAGAGTCACTGGACTGTGTGCGTCCGAAGTTGGGCACACTCATCCGCGGCAGGTCCTTGTTCCTGATCTCATAGATGGACTTCCGCCGCGCTTGCACGCCGCGCACGGCCGTCTTGATTTTCCTCCAGCCCAGGTGGTTGAGCTCGGCCAGGTTCAGCACCACGCAGAAGCCGCTCACGGCGAACATGAAGACCAGGAACACCGTCTTCTCCGTGGGTCTGGACACGTAGCACTCCACGTCTTTGATGCACGGGTAGCGGTCGCACTCGTACACGGACGGCACGTTGAAGCCGTACAGGAAGTACTGACCCACCAAGAAGCCGATCTCCAATGCGTTCCTGAAAACCACCTGGATGATGTAAAACCTGGAGATGCCCTCCTGCCGCCTCATTTTGGACTTTGTAGTCCTCATGGCCGAGTTGGGGATCTCCTTCACCTCCAAGCAGTCCGGTTCGGCTTCTTTGGTGGAGTTCTCCGTGTTCTGGAGCACTCCGTTCACTATGGTGTTCTTTATCTTTTTGCTCTCGTCTCGCTTCAGGGAGTCTTGGTCCTTGTCCAGGGTCAGGTACACCGTGGAGAAGCGGCGCTCCTTCTGCTTGGCCGACTGGTGCACGGAGTAGGTGATGAAGCAGAGGCTGGGGGTGCACACCATGATGATCTGGAACACCCAGTATCGGATGTGGGAGATGGGGAACGCCTTGTCGTAGCACGCCTGGTTGCAGCCCGGCTGTAAGGTGTTACACACGAACATGGTCTGCTCGTCATCATACACAGTCTCTCCAACTATTGCTACGATTAGAATCCGGAAGATGACCACCACTGTTAGTAGGATCCTAAAAAGCAAGCAAACAAATAAAGGTGTAAAAAGGAAAAAATAAAAAAAATGTGTGGAAGTGTCGAAGCGCCAACTGGGGGGGAGCTGTCCAGTGCTGAAACAGGACGCTCCATGGGGGAAACGTGTTTCTTATATGTGTGTGGGTGCGTGTGTTTGTGTGTGTCTGTGATTTAATGATTATGGCACGTGAGCAGTCGGTGTTGCTTTGATTCTACCTGCGCGATCATGTGTGAGCCTCCCCCGTGAACTCACCGCTCAGCATCGAAATGAACAAATGAATGAATGAACTCATGAAATGATTTTTTTTTTTTTTTTTTGGTTTAGCCTGTTTGACTTTGCAGCACCATCCCAGGTTCCTAAAGGACAGCTGCGAGCTGTCTCGTTTAGGAGGAGAAGGAGGACAAAAAAACGGAGGAAAGACACGAGAAGATCCACAACACAGACACGGAGGAGTGGACAGCACGCTACAGACGGTCCTGGAGCCACAACACAGAAACGGGGGACTGGGGTGCCATGCTAAAGACGGTCCTGGAGGCTGCTGGGTGTCTTCTTGAGGTTTTGCTGATCATCTTACCTTCCTATCATAGTAGAGTGCTGCTGGACAGCAGCCTCCAGGAGCCTCTCTAGTATAGTCCATTCCCCCATTTCTGAGCATCCGGAGGAGACGAGGGTTCAACGGAACACTGGTCAAATCCCACTCCCAAAAAACTGAAAAATCCGTCTTATCTCCAGTGCAGCTGCTCTCTGGTGTTCTTAGGTTCCAGCGCGTCCAGACTGGGCTGAAACACGCATCCGTGACGGGATGCTTCTACCGTCCCCGTCCCCCCCGTGTCCCTCTCCGCGCGCTCTGGTTGGTTGTGTGCTCAGAGCGCAGCGCCAGTAAGCGTCCTGCTGCGTGTGCCGAGCGCTCCCTCCACGGTGCCACGCTGCTGCTCATGAGACTCTGAGGGCTGATTACTGTAAGCCCTCCTATTTTCGATCTTCACATCAGGTTGATTGGCTGCGCCGCGCGCGTCTGGATGGAGGCAGGTTGGATTTAACGTCTTGCCTGCGTTAATCCGCCTTTAAGTAGTGACCCCCCCCCCCCCCATCCCTCCCTCCCTCCTGTGCGTCACGAACGCGCAGACAGGAGCACAGCCAGGAGTGCAACAGTTTTGAGTATACGGTGTTTTGTCACAGCATGTCTCCAACATGAACCCCAGCCCATATGCACTGTTCAATAAAATCTTTGTTTTTAATTTTATTATTTTGGAACAAGTTTTGGAGTCTGCTCAGTGATCACGTGATCAACGTGACTTTTCTGTGTCAGACTTTTACGCATTAACAAAGCCCTTCTCTGGTGTTTTGCTTCATACCCGGAAGGATGGAGGTGGCTGTGGGCTAAATGGAGCCAGTCTTGCCCAGAGGTGTCCCTCCCCCCTTGTCACGGGCTGTTGGCCCGGATGGCAGAGCTCTTGTCTCCGCCTCAGGGCAAAGATGACACTGTGGCTACAGTGACAGAGTGGAAGCACCATCCGAGTCGCTAATCGCCACATGAAGCTGCCTGAAGTTTAAAAATAGCAGCAAAATATGAGACCCCGCCCAGAATCTCACCCTGAGACTTCACCTTATTGTGTTTCCACTAATGAGGCTCAGGTTGTTCTTTTCTGGCTGGATTCAGAGCCCACGTGTTTATTTATTTCATATTGTTTGACCCCGCATGCAAATTTAATGCACATCAAACACTTTCTGTCTCCTGATCACGTGACAGCGCTGTTGTCACTTGCTGAAACTTGGCGGGGTCCATTTCTCATGAGGTGGCTGATCCTCTTTCACTCTCGCTGTAATCTGCACTAATTCAAAGCTTCAATAACCTTTACTCATCCGTCACGTGAGGGGAGGAAGGACAGCAGGAAAACAACAATAGGTCGAGCACTGGTTTATTTATAAACGTATACAAATTGATCTTGCGTAAACAAAGACTTTTTGACAAGACGTGCATTGCTGCAGTGTGTGCGTGGGCGGGGGGTGGGGGGCTCCGAGATGAGGGGCTCTGTGCTTAGAAGCACTTCCTGTGGACGATGGAAGGTCCGGCCTCGTCATACTCCTGCTTGCTGATCCACATCTGCTGGAAGGTGGACAGAGAGGCGAGGATGGAGCCGCCGATCCACACAGAGTACTTCCTCTCAGGAGGAGCGATGATCTGCGAACAAAAACGCACCTGTGTTCATCTGCTCTCACGCAGCTTCAACACGTCACAGGGGGGTCTGTGGGTACCTTGATCTTCATGGTGCTGGGGGCCAAAGCGGTGATTTCCTTCTGCATCCGGTCAGCAATGCCCGGGTACATCGTGGTCCCCCCGGAGAGGACGTTGTTGGCGTACAGGTCCTTGCGGATGTCAATGTCGCACTTCATGATGCTGTTGTAGGTGGTTTCATGGATGCCGGCAGATTCCATGCCTGTGCAAACAAAACGGACATGTGGGTGAGTCTTTGAGCCCCCACACCTCGAACAGGAGCAGGCCTCCGTCAGCTGTCAGAACAGGTGCTGAAACGAACAGCTCCAACAGCCGTGCGCTCTGGGAGCCTACCTCCCCCCTCCCCCACCACACCACCCCCTCATATTTCCCAGGTGTGTTTGTCATGAAGGAGCGGATCAGTGGGAAACTTGTGATCAGAATGTGTCAGCAACATACATGTTAATCAGAGCACGTGTGAGTGTTTGGATGCTGGAGCCTTTACGCACCGATGAATGAGGGTTGGAACATGGTCTCCGGGCAGCGGAAGCGCTCATTTCCGATGGTGATGACCTGACCGTCGGGCAACTCGTAGCTCTTCTCCAGGGAGGAGGAGGAGGCGGCGGTGGCCATCTCATTTTCAAAGTCCAGAGCCACGTAGCAAAGCTTCTCCTTGATGTCACGCACGATTTCTCTCTCAGCTGCAGGAGATCAGACACGAGTTGTGTCCAAACAGTACACCACGACGACATTACTCCACTTTAGTGACAATCTAAAGAAGTAATTCGACTTCGTGTGTCCTTTTTGCACGAGTTGATCTATTTTACAGTCAAAAAATCATGATCGGTTTTAAGTTTCTTCCATTCACCTGTTGTAACGAAAGAATAACCCCGTTCCGTGAGGATCTTCATGAGGTAATCTGTGAGGTCACGACCGGCCAAGTCCAGCCGCATGATGGCGTGAGGAAGAGCGTAACCCTCATAGATGGGCACGTTGTGGGTCACACCGTCACCAGAGTCCAGGACAATACCTACAACCAGTAATCAACGCTTTTTAATAAACTTTGGATATGATCAGATTTAGTTTGTGAGGACTCTTATACCTGTGGTTCGTCCCGAGGCGTACAGGGACAGCACGGCCTGGATGGCCACGTACATGGCGGGGACATTAAAAGTCTCAAACATGATCTGAGTCATTTTCTCTCGGTTGGCCTTTGGGTTGAGGGGGGCTTCTGTCAGCAGGGTGGGGTGCTCCTCCGGGGCCACCCGCAACTCGTTGTAAAAGGAGTGGTGCCAGATCTTTTCCATGTCGTCCCAGTTGGTGATGATGCCATGTTCGATGGGATACTTCAGGGTCAGAATGCCTCTTTTGCTCTGCGCTTCATCCCCAACGTAGGAGTCCTTCTGTCCCATTCCGACCATGACGCCCTAAAACACAACTCAGCTGTCAGAAGTAATCTGTTTTCATAAATTTGACGCAAGGAAGGAATGGTCAGTTTTGCGTAATTACGCACAGATATCCACGTTGCCTGTTACTTCTATGATGCAAACATTAGTTGTTGTTAGTCTTTACGTTTGTTGTGTTGTGATGGTTGACTTTACCTGGTGACGTGGGCGACCAACGATGGAGGGGAAGACGGCGCGGGGCGCGTCATCCCCGGCGAAGCCAGCCTTCACCAGGCCGGAGCCGTTGTCACACACCAGGGCGGTGGTCTCTTCATCGTCACACATGGTGCCAGATCTGCAACACGATAGGTCCACTGATAAAACATGGCGCTGGGTTTATAATGAGTCCTTGAACACAACACGACTGCATCACTTTGGTTCAGTTTACTGTAAAGTTGTTGGAAAGTTTACTTTAAATATTTATAAACATGCTGCTGTAAAAGTTCATATTGTCAGTTTCTTCTCATGGTCCTCGGGTCCAGATCAGATTCTCCATCCTCCCTCTTAACTTGTTTTCATGCAGTCCTGGTCAGCGGAGTGGATACTCACCAGATCAGCTCCGGGGGGGCTGGATCTTCAGTGTGTAAACCAGGGGGTGTCGAGGTGTCACGTCGGGCCGATTTATACTCTGCAGGGGCCACACTGCGCGGCCCCTTCTCTATATTTGGTCGCTCGTTGCTCCATTGACAAAAGGCGCTCCATGAATGGCATGAGGAGGGAAGGGAACTCCCCAGCAGACATCTGTGCCCCCCCGCCCATATAAGGAGGGGAGCAGAGAGAACTGGAGGACAATGGTGAGCTTCCCTCTGATCTGCTGATGAATCATTATCACAACAAACAAACAAACAAACAAACAAACATGACCTGTGTCCACAGTCTGATCTTGTCACACATTTATTAGTCTAATATTTATTGTTTTAACAAAGAATAAAGTAAAATCATGACACTCCTTGTATATCACTCAGCATGTAATCATTCTATGATAAGAAGGGTCAGAGTTGAAACCATTGTGATCAAACTTAGTAAATTATGTTAAATCTTACAAGATGTAGCTCCCAAGTGTTGTGACGCTCAGCTACTAGTTTGAGCTCAGTATCTAACCGTTGCTGCTTTTCTTAGTGTAGATTAGTTGTGGCATCCATTTAGAACTTGGATGACTCCAAATGGTAACCAGTTGTAGATGTGCACGTAGTGAATACTTACTGAGAGTTCCATTCATGTCTGTCCAGTGGTACATGAGATACGTTGCTAACAGACACACAGGACTGACCAACAGCTTTAAGGAAATGTGTTCAACATGTGATGCTCCATGTATGTTTTGAATGTCTCTCAGCTACTGTACAAAACTTAGCTCAATATTTGTAAAATTAGCCAAGTTAGAGCAATTGTTGTTTTCTCCAAGATCTACTGGCTGTAGCGGCCATCTTGATTTGAGCAGACTCCAAAATCGAATCAGTGGCAGACGTACACTCCTGGATTATTTTCTGAAAGTTTCATTAAAATCCATCTAGTGACGCGTGAGATAATCTGCTAACAGACAGATTTAACTTCAATAGTTAAAGCCAAAGTTTCTAAAACACATATTGTGCTAACGATCAGTGCTTCAAGTGTAAACTGAGGATAACTCTCAAACTGAGCTGTAGCTCGATGCGTTTGAAAAGTGACTCAGTAATCGTCCCTTTTGTGTTTACGTCTCCCCAGCTGTGGTGGCCGTCGTGAGCCGTGTTGACTCCAGACATTAATAAATTACAGATGTTATAAGAAATGTTTCTTTCTGGGAGTTTCATCAACTTTTGAACAGTGTTTCACCAGATATTTTGCTAACTCAGCAGACAAACAATAAAACAGGGTCACCCGCTCACCTTCAGCAGAAGGACAGGCTATTTAAATCTGACACACGTTACTTCCAAGGGTTCTGGCATC